TGAAGGTTCGGCTGGCCTGTGGCCTGCCCCCCGTTGCCCAGCCTCAGCCAATGCTGTGTCCTTCTCCTCAAGGCTCTGCTAGCATTCCTGAGTCCTGCTGACTTCCCAGCCGACTGGGTCCACACCAGTGCCATGAGGTATTTGTTTCCCAAACACAGGGTATGAGATGCCAATTTACATTATCTACCCTGGAATGGACTGATCTGAGAGAGAGGTCATTTTGTCATTTCTTATGACATCATGGTTGAGGACAAGACAGAGTCACACAGAGCTCACCAGTGCTAGAGCTGCCCTGTCCTTTATTATTATTATTATTATTATTATTATTATTATTAAGGTTTATTCTTTAAGAAAAAAGTGGGGGGGGACACACGCACGCCCATGCATGAATGTATATATGGGTATGTGCATGCAAGTACAGGAGCTGACAAAAGCCGGAAGAGGCGGTCAGATCCTCCAGAGTTAGAGTTATGGAGACTGTGAGCCATCCCATGTGGGCCCTTGGAGCTAAATTTGAGTCCTCTGGAAAATACGCAATTGCTCTTAACTACTGAGCCATCTCTCCAGCCCCCTCTCTGGCTTTAATGGCAAGTGTTAAATCTCCAGGGACAGTGTCTGTTCCTTGGGTGCCGTGGGTTGAAGCAAGTCTCAGTGAGCACAGAGTCAGTGTGCGATGATGGACTTACACAATGTACAAATGCTCACTCGCTCTCTGCAGGCGAATGGTTGCCTGTTCTGGCTTTCCGTAGACTAATGGTCACACATGCAGTGAACAAACTTGTCTTTTGAGTGAAGCCCAGTATTGCCCTGAAACTTAAGCATCCAAACAAATGCTGCAGCCCCCTGAGTGTGAAATGAAGCATTCCCAAATGGATGACTGTACTGACCGGCAACGACTGTCTAAAGCAAGGGTTGTCTTCACGTGCACCAGATTGGCATCTGAAAGATGGACGAAGGATGCATCTTGACATTCTGCCGTGCAGTTTTGCCCTAGGTTACAGCCATTCAAAGAGACTTAGAATCATAAGGGCCATTTGCACGCGCTGACGGGAGCCGCCCGCCTATGTCTAGACAGCCAGGAGCCTTCTGGCCTCTGTCATCTCCTGGCTGTCGGGACTGTGGCTTTGTGTCCTCTGAAAGTTTAAAATGAACTGTTTGTATGGTTTCCCGTTTTCTTGGGTGTTGGGGATGGGTGAGAATTCAGGCTGGCAGAGCATGGAGTTGTCTGTCCCACCACAGGCTCTGTCTGTCACAGGACTCCCTGACCAGTCCATGTCGTAGTAGAGCCTGGAAGACCACAAGTGGGGACGACACACCACACCCTTCTAGTACATATAGAGCTTTATGGTTTAACTTCTGACTGTTTATCACTGTGTACGACTCAAGAAAAAGAAACATGTTTTAATCACGTAATGGCTAGGTGCCTTCCCTTAGGGTTCATCGGTGACTCTAATTATACCCCATCAAATGAACATGGCTTTATAAAGTGGAAACAGTTTAGGAGAATATCTGTCATTTACATGGACCTAAAAGGTAAACAGGGACTTGTTGAAAACTGGAGCTTTGCAAGAGAATCCTGGACTGGGGTGCATTTTGGTCCTGAGGCAGAAGGAGCCACCCCATGCCTTCCTCCAGCCTCTGTATGTAGCTGCTAAGGAGATCACTCTTTGTTTACAGGCTGTTTTGTAATTTGGGCTACTTCTGGCCTCACTGTACCTTGCCCTGCTTCTGTGTCTCCTAGGAAACACTCCCCATACCCATTTCACATTTTAGAATCCCCAGGACAAGGGACACTCAAAACACAAATGGCTCGTGTATGTGAGACCTTTGAGTGACAGCCCTGTGTGGGTCAGGATGTGGCCACAGGGGTGCCCCCCGGATGGCCAGCCACATAGTAGGTGTCAGACTGGGGCCATGCTTTTTTTCACTCTGAACACATGGTTTGGTTTGGTTTGGTTTTGGGGGGGGGGGGATTATTTTGTTTTGGTTTTGTTTTGGTTTTGAGACAATCTTGTCATAGAACTCACTATGTATACCAGGCTGGCCTCAAGCTCATAGACATCTGGCTGCTTCTCCCACCCTAGTGGTGAGATTATAGGCCTCTGCTGATGCCCAATTTGAATGCATTGTATTCTGTAGAAATTTGAGTGTCAGACAGTGTTCCCCAGGCCAACCTGAAAAGGAAGCTCTACCCAGTCCTGTCCCTTGGCTAAGCTTGGATTTCTTGGTAGCTGAAGAAAGTCTGTAAAGTGTGGAGTGCTGTGAAATTGGTGCCTTGTTTGCAGTGTGTAATCTTATGTTGCTCTGGAGGGAGCCCCTCTCACAGGTGCCCACTGTAAACACAGGTACCAGCCCTTGTTTGTGCTTCCGAAAGGGGAGACCAGTGGTTTCAGGCTGTGGCTGAGATGCTCAGGATTCTTGCGGTGAATGCAGGTTGTTCACTATAGCTGAGAACTGCAGAATTCACAGTCCTGTGTGGCAGCAGGAATAGGAGGCCTGCGGCTTCACTGTGGTTCCACGTGCCTTTGCCTGTGTGGCCCAGAGTCTTGTCTACAAGGGAGCCTTGTGTTTCTTGGCTTTGCTGTCTCTGGCCTGTTGTTGATGGTGAGCAAGAGAGTCAATGCTCAGGGAAGACAGGTGCTGGGCAGTGCTTAGGCCACAGAAGAAGACCTTCAAGGTCTTGCTGGCCACAGGAAGGCTTTTATAACATTGAAGGGCGGAGGTGGAAAGACACATAATTACGTCAGTGGAGTCAAAGGCAGGCATGCTTAAAGAGGTAGCCTTGGGACAGGTGGGTGTTCTTCAGGCTGACCTACTCTTACTGTGTTTTGGTAATCCAACTGAGTGTCTGCCAAGGAGCAGTAGAATTTATTCATGATTGTCAACATTCATGTTTTCCTTCCTGGTAATATTATTTCCAGAGCATCAAAATAGATTAGCCTGGAACCAGCAAGATGGCTCAGCAAATAAAGGCTCTTGCTGCCAAGCCTGATGACCCGAGGCAATCCCCAGATCCAGGACTGGTTCTTGCAAATTGTCCTCTGACCCTTCAGACACACACATACATGCTCACACAAGCGTCCTCTGATCCTTCAGACACACACACACACACATTTACACCTTGTGGCGTACATGCACACAATAAATAAATGAATGTTAAACAAAAAATAGTCTTTTTAAAAAATGGATCACCTTTTTAGTTCCCAAGATAACTGTGAGTGCCTCTCCACATGCCTCCAGTCTGGCCAGTTTCTCCTCTTTCTCTGTAGCCTTCCCTGGTGGAAGGATAATTAGGAGTGTAGGGTTGGCTCATGAAAGTGCCCACGAGCCTCCCAAAGGAGTCATGTTAGCCATCTGCGGGCGCTTGCCTGAGCAGGAAGGGACACGGCCTTCTGAAGCCTGCAGCCGCCCTAACCTTCTAGTGACATTGCTGTGACCCCCAACCCCTCTGTATTGTTGAAATTCCATCTGAAGTGGATGATGGGAAAATGTGAGCCCACTGGAGAACTTGGGTGTGGCTTTGTGTTGCTGGGTTAAGAATGGTAGCCATCCTTGGGGAGGGGATGTGAGGGCTTGAAGGATGTGGTTCATTATTGTGTCTGTGGGGGTGACTCACTATCACATGTCCATTTGTACCAAGCAGGGAAGCTTCTGTTGCTTTGGTGTGCAGTGTAAACATTTTCCCATGTCAATTGTGGTCCCATGCTTTTTTACATGATAAAACCATGCAGAGCAGTGGCCTTCCAAAGGTTCCTTTGTGGGTTTGGATCTCCCAGTAACAAGTACCAATGGACCAGATCCCCACGCCGGGGTTTGAAGCTTGCTTCCGAGTAAACACAGCTGTATTTTCGCAGTGTTGGTGATTGACATGTGAGCTCCTTCCTGTCGTGTGCAGACTGACCTGATTTTCTCCCATACTGAGATCTCTGGAGGAGGGCAGGATCAGGGAGGCGGGGGAGGGAGGTTGCCTCTGTGTCCCCAAGCAGACAGGGTGTAGTTGAGAACTTGGGACTTCCTGCTTCCTAAGTCTGGCTGAATTAGCTAGTGTTAGGTACATACCTTCTCAGCCATTATTACAATTGTGGCAATTTATTGATGGACAAGAGGTTTCCTTACTGCACATAGACAGAATTGGAATGCACAGGAGTAGACAAGCCTGGCATGAAAGTTGCAACTGGGGCGGGGGGAGGCAAGGCTGCTGGAGTGTTGGCCTGACCCCTACTCAGGATTGCCTATCCATTGTCCTTGCCCAGGAAAGCTTGAGAACAGATGCTAGGTTTGCTGGGAACTGGCACTTAGATCAGGAACACATCCGAAGCAGCCATCCAGGGAAGGCAAGGCCACATGTGACTTTCAGAATATGTTTTCCAATTCTGAAAGCTTTTCCAGAGATCTTAATGGGACTTCATTAAAAATCGATTGACGTGGATTACAGCTCACCCACCTAACGCTGTTACTAAAGTTTGCGAACTGAATTTCACTTTGAATAAATTAAAATGCTGTTACGAAATTATAACATGAAATTGTCATGTTTATAGAAATAAGGTGAGATCATTGATCTGGGGGGTCTGTCTTTAATTTGTTATCCCTGGGGCCAGGGCTGGGGTGGGGGCTCGCTGATAGGATACTTTCCTCAAATGTGTAAGGCCCATGATTCAGTTCCCAGTGCCACAAAAGCAAAGAGTTAAAGCGTCTCTCCATTAGGCATCTTCTACTGGCTGTGGCTCAGTTCTGAGTAGTTTGGTAGACAGCCAGGATGTCCACTGCAGCTGCTGATAATGGTGGATCTTCAGAGTCTATAGTGAAGTTCAACTTCCAAGTCACCTATGTAATGTTGAACACGAAAAAGCAAAACAAAAAAAAAAAAAAACAAATTAAATCTAAAAACAAGGATAATGTTCTCTGAAAATGCAAACCCAAAAGAAAGTTTCTATTTTCCTGAATGCCTTTGTGTCTTCTACCCATTTCTCTGCTTACATCTGTCCCCTCTTCCCCCACAGGGCATGCTGCTGAAGAGAAGTGGCAAGTCACTTAACAAAGAGTGGAAGAAGAAGTATGTCACCCTGTGCGACAACGGCGTGCTGACCTACCACCCCAGTTTACATGTGAGTACAGCTCCATGGGGCAGAGGCTGTGACAGAGTCAAGGCCAGCGCTCTGCCTCCGTGTGAAGAGGACAGGGGTATTAGACTGCCCTGAGCTGTATATAATGCAGTCTGTCCCTCAGGCTCCCCACCCCCTCCATCTGTTAATTTAGGGCTCTCAAGTCCATAGTGGATCACAATGCCAGTTGCATATAAAGTAGAGTTGGAAAGGAGAGTAGCAAGGTGGGGTAAGCCGTGCGAGCCAAGAGAGTGTCTGTGAAAATCTAAGCTACAACAGCTGAATTTGATCCCAGCGCTGAGCGGCTAAGAGTAAAGCCAGGCTAGATGTCATTTGCCACAGTTTCATGCTGAGGTCAAGCACAGGCACCAACTCAGAAGGCGGGAAAGCTGCTTCTCTGTAGGATGTCGCCTTCATGGTCTCCTTATGACTGTGACAGCAGACCCGGTCTTGTTTCGGCAGGAATCGGGTCATTCTGTCTCCAGTAAGCGCTTCTAAGGTGGACTGTTCATTGTGCTTCCATGATCTCCTGCAGAGGCTGAGAGTTTAAACTTACACCATTAGTCACTGGATTTTGCCACTCCACCAAGCTTGCAGTTATTAACAAAGAGTTAAAAATAAGCATGCCAAGTGGAAGTTGGAAGCGCTCCACATGACAGAGAATGCCGGCAGTGTGGATGTCTGTGTCTCCGTGCACATGAATTTGGTGCTTCCTCAGACACAAATACATCCCACAGCCTGCTCGCCTCGCTGATGATAGGTCACATGCAGTTTTCCCTGACTGCAAATGCATGGTACTGGTTTTGATGTTTATATAGTATCCCACTATCCCACTGCATGGATGTAGTCTGAGTACTTCAACAGCATCTCAGGACAAAATAAAAACAAGACGTTTGGCAGAAATTTTGACACTCCCTCCCCCATTATTATAAGTAACTCTGAGCGGACTTTCTCCTGATATCTGTGTCCTTATCTGCCTCCCTAAGACAGACTCCCAGGCAGGCTGTAGGGTCTACATGACGTTACTCGCTTAAGCATCCATCGTCAGATTTCTAGGACCCATATGCACATTTTTCTCCCCAAATACCATTTGGCAAGGGGCCTTTCCCCTGCACACTCAAGGACACTCACCTTTTTTCCCTGGCAGGCTTGGTGACACATGGTACCTCCTGTGGTTTGTTGCTGGTGTGATCCTCCCCCTTCCCCCTCGGCTTAGAGCAGAAGCTGTACCTTTCAGAACCACACCAGAAAGCGTCTGCTTCAGTCCCCGTCACTGGCTAGCTTCCGGTGCTAATGACAGTGCCTGCCACACCTGACTGTATACAGGCAGCGTCTGACTTACGGTGGTCCCACGCAGGATGTTCTTACTGGGCAGCAGGATGAGAGCCCCCACAGCCACCCTGTCACTTCCACTACCATAGTCAGCAGAGAGATGAAGGTACTCAACATGTGGCTGTGAAACACACCCTGTCTTAGATGAATGTGCCCAAGTGCAGGCTGGTGCAAGCAGGTCCTGCACAGGACTGAGATGGGTCACACTAAGAGGGACATTCTGTGATGGAGTGAGTCCCCCCCCAACCTATGGTGTCTTTAGTGTGGCAGTGGGTATATTGATATGTAACCCCATCCTGAGGGTGTGTGTGTGTGTGAGAGAGAGAGAGAGAGAGAGAGAGAGAGAGAGAGAGAGAGAGAGAGAGAGAGTGTGTCTGTCTCACAAGCTCATCTGTGTTTACAAGGTACATATGAGAGATGTCTTCATATGTTCTTAAAGGTTTAGCTGTATTCAGATGTAGATAGATGTCCTTTGTTGGACGAAACACTATGTGGCTCTATGTCTAGCTTATCTTGGGAATGCATTTGGTTCTCCAAGTGTCCTTGATGGCAGGATAGAATGCCTGCTCCTGGAGACCCACCTGTGACAGGGCACATGCCTTTTCCAGAATGTCCCTGCTGAGGGCTTCGAGTTTCTGCAGCTCTTTCCCTCTCAGACTCCATCCCTGAGCCTTCCCAGGCCCTCCGTATCCCAGAGCAGCCCAACCTACAAGGAAGGCTGCCCTCCCTGCCTTGGGTCTTGTCTTCCTCGAATCCTGTCACAGACCAAAGGCCTCATCAGCTGGTGCTTCACATGCCTCAAAGAATAGAGCTGGGACTTGGTGACCAGTAACAAGTAAAATCTGACTGGTGGTTCACCTTCTTTCTGCCGATATTTAACCCAGGCTATACCCACCATATTGCCTCTGTCCCCATGGAATATATGGAAGGAAATTACTCCTGTCCCGTGATATCTTAGCTGTAGCCCGCCCCTTCTTTCTGCTACCTCCCCTAGTTTTCCCCAAGGCTTGGGAGCTGACCCAGCCCTGGGTGGTGCAGTCCCTGATCCTCCTTATTTTGTAAATGGAGACAGAAGGCAAGGCGGAGGCACAGAAGGGAGTGATGGTGAACTTTAACTCTTGTGGTTCCCAAAGCTAGATCTCTGCTTTATCTGCACTGGAGATTGTGACCTGACAACTCCAGTCATTTAAACTAAAGCAACCAAGAGAGAGCCCGATGGCACCATGGATTGTTGACTCTAAACCCTGCTGGCCCCTGGGCTGTTGAAACAATGGCTGGCTCTTTTATAGTCTCTGTTTCTACGTGTAGTAATAATAATGCCCATCTTGGGGCTGGGAAATTGCTCAGCTTTAAGAGCACTGGCTGTTCTTCCAGAGGACCTCACTCATTTCCCAGCACCCACAAAGTGGCTCACAACCATCTCTAACTCCAGTTTAGGGGTCCAGAATCTTCTTTTGGTTTCCTTGGATTTGTGGTACACAGACACACATGCAAGCAAAACACCTATACACATGAAATGAAATAATTAAAAAAAATTTAAATCACTCATCTCTAGGACCCCCAAGGTCTGGAGCACTTAACTGCCATGAGGGGTAGGTAGGTAGGTAGGTAGGTAGGTAGACACATAGATAGATAGATAGATAGATAGATAGATAGATAGATAGATAGATAGATAGATAGATTGATTGATTTGAGGGTCTCATGGATTTAAGGCTCATTGCTGGCCCTGTTGGGGTGGGCGCGGGGCAGTGTGATGTGAGATCCTTAGGTCCCCTCTCTGTGGACTTAGATGTGAGCCGTAGGGAGCACCATGATGGAAAAAACAGAGGGATAATGAGAAAGAACCTCTGCCCCAGGGCTGTGCAGCGCAGCACGGCCACCTATTCATCTTCTGTGTCGGGGGAAGAGCCGCTTGCATGGCTGGCGATTGTGCTCTTGGAGTCGGCTCTGTCTGGTGGGCTCCCTAAGTGGGCCTGGAAGAATGAACCCTGCAAACCATGGGCATCACATTGTGGGGCTCTGTGTGAGAAAGTACACAGCAGTCAGGCCCAGCTCGGTCTTCCTTGTAAGGGGCCTGGCAGCTGCACTCGGCCCTCTCTATGCACCAGGTGGGCCTGGTGTGTATGACTTGCTTTCCCCGTTTTCAGATTCATTTCTCCTCTTTCCCTCTTGAAACCAGGTCAGCCTTGTATATCCTCTTTTTTCTCCATGATAAACAAAATTGGAATGGACCTCTCTTACTCTGTAGCTCCATTAGCGATTGGGTGGCTGAGGCTCTCAGGTTGTAGAAAGAATGGCTACGTGTACCGTGAACCTTGAGTTCAGTGTTTTCTGAGTCGGTGGTCAGTGACACTGGAAATTGTCATGAGAACGCAGATTTTAATAGCTCCAGATTCCACTATCTGACTGGAAGCCACTTGGCTGACACATCAGGAAGTGATCTGATATGATTCCTAAAAGTAGGGCTGCTGAACGGTGTCTTCCCAGGGAAGAAACCTGTGTTAGGAAGAACCTCCTTTCACAGCGCCCCCTACAGGCGGTGCATGCTGGCCATTCATCTCATGGAGACGTGGGGTTGGAGGAGGCCTGCCTGCAGCATCTCACATCTGCCAGCATGGACCTCGCACTGCCAGAGGTGCAGTTACATTCCAAGCCCTTCCACGGTGGTCCCAGCGCCACGCAAAAATCAGAAAAGCTCCTGCCCCAATAGCAAGTTCCCATGTTCAGAAGACCTTCCTCTTGTTCCCACGTGGAAAGCCATTTTACAGGAAATGGCTAGCCTTCCTGTGTCTCTGACATGAGCATAGTCAGTGAGTCATGTTGGTGACACACTGCTTCAGTTTGCGTCACTTAGTTTTTGATTGGTGACTTTTCGTCTGGCTTCCCATGAGTAAGAACCTAGTGACTCTGCGCTGTTCACCACCATCTGTCTGGCCTGTGCTTTCACAAGCTTCACTCAGTTCAGGGCAGCATTGCCCAGAGTGTGGATATCAGGGTTGTGTGGCTTTGTGGGGTCCCGGCTCCAAGACGGCCTGGGTGCCAGACCTCACCATGCGGATCTTTGACCACAATGTGTACACGCAGTGTCACACACACACACACACACACACACACACACACACACACACACACACACACCACAGCAGTGTCTCAATACTGTTGCAATACAAAGAGCCCACCACGGTTTGATTAGAATGTTATGTTACAGATATGGAAGATCGAAGGTTGGAATCTTACTGCCAGCAGTTGGTAGTGATCCGGTCTGAGCCACCTATTTTGGGACACAAATGGGTTTCTAAGTGACAGACCATGTCATGATTGATACTTCTTTTGTGTTTCTGTACATGGCAGCAAGCAGAAGGAGCATATGGCTTTTCTGGACTTCCTGTGTGTTGGGAGGGACTCATTGTTACATGGCAGAAACCTGTGTTTTCTGTGCAACACGTGCCTTTTGGTGTCCTGGTGATGGCCTGACTGAGTCCGAGGTCCTTGACATGTGAATGTTGTCACCACAGGTGACATTTGATGCTCTGCTGAGTGTCCCCTAAAAGCCATTGTAGGGGAGTAGTTTCCAGTCCTGGGACTCCATTGGGAAGAGGTGGAGCTGCTAAGGGGTGAGGCCTGTTTTGGTTTTTTGTTTGTTTTTTGTTTTAAGCTAGATCTCTGGGGTC